ATTTTGAGGTCCTACCCTTAGACTGTCGACGGTATGACCGACGGTTACCGACGCAAATCGAAGAACGTGGAAGTTATCGTAATAATTCTTCTCAGGTGTTGATTTTCGCTGTGATTTGTTTTGCTGGTTTAGTTTGGCACCATAAAATTTTGGAGTTTTGAGGAAGAAATATCAATAATCACAGCCTAGAGACATGAAAAATCCCAATCCATAAAATGAATCATGTAAGAGCTTCCTTTAGTGACTGTAACGTGTAGATTTCAAATACGACTTAGATTCTGCATTACTTACACCTCAGCAAACGGATTTAGACTAATCTTTGTAAAACTTCCGTCTGTGAAAGAACTATTAAAATATTACGAAGGACTATACACGGAAGTGATGTGGAAGGGAAGTGCCAGTACCATAAGCCAAGATAAAAAAATATGCCGTCTTCAAAGTAGAACTGTGGAAGTTCCAATTAGCTTTCGGTGCGATAGTGAAAAATGAAGCAGCTATGACTTGATAATGTGCTTTAGTTATAGAAAGCGTTACTCGGGCGCGAATACATAGCAGTACCAGCTGTCTGTTTGTGATCAAGAGTGCCCAGAATTACTATAAAATAACCATGTTAAGTCGAAGTGGCCTTTTCAAATGGGATGTACATCATGTTGAAGAGTAATATGCTATCTGAGCGTCTATTGAAATAAAAAAGAAAATTGCATCTAGAATAAAACGAGTTGCTAAAGCTCCTTAGCCCTTGAATAAAGCAACCAAATGTGATAATTTTTTATTTGAGAGTATTTATCGAATAAAGTGCTCTAATGATCATCATTGCTCCACTGAAGCGCTAGAAAAGATGGAGTATTTTTGTTTGTACGTGTAATTTTTTGCTATTATAAAAGTTCATGACTCCCGCTCCAAGAACGTTCCGAAGATAAGGAAGTCGGTTGGAATCAATGTTTCATGCTCTCCAATATTTTATACATTTCATCTTAAAAGGTCACTTCGGCTGAACATCGTATTGTTGTAAGACTTTGGAAATTTTTATAGGGAAGAATTATTGAAATTACAAAAGGGTACGCTCAAGTTGGAAAGAGGGACAGTCAGGCAAAAACAGGGGTATCATTCAAGATTTCTTCCACAAAAATTATTGTATTGATGCATGGTGCGAGGAAAAAAACTGGAGTAATAGCGGGTAATTCCGACAAAAAAAGTACGCATTTTTTTCTTATTACTCAGGAAGACATTAGATCCTATATGGCTGGTCCTTGCCGCCATTTACAGCAAAATCGACACCATGTGGGATTTCTGTGTGCTTGTGCGCATGTGATCGTCTTATTTCTAGGCCGTAATCGAAGTTTATTTGAACGGTTCTTTATCTACCGCCACCGAGGCAGAAAACGGCAGTTGCCGCGACTGTGATGACAACGAAAGTAGCATCTCCCCCCCCCCCTCCGCCCCTTCCCCTTCCTTCCCTTCAAACACAACTTCTCGAGTGCTTCGGCTAGTCCGCAAGAATACGCACTGGTATGCATAATAGGATGATTCCGTGACAAATGCATGCGCAATGTTTTGGGAGCCATAGAGGGGGCTTAAATGTTGTGCGACGGATTTGTTGCGTGTACGCAGAGTGCAATCATCATACAACTCAAAGTCCGTCGTGGTCGTTACATGGTCGTGACAACTTCGGAATCAGGATGAACAATGCGGTGTATAAATGCCGTAAAAGAGAAGCTCCAGTCCTCATCATAACTCAACAAAAGTACCTATCCATCACACCACTCCCATTTCACTCCTAAAACCCAAAATTACCTCAAAAGAAAAGGGCTGATGGATTTAAGCGATTAATCTGGATTAATTCCATACCCATTGGTGAGTCAGAAAACGCATTCCTTTTTTTCTCTGTGTCATTTAATACGGGTACACGAAAACAGAAAGTATGACGAAGCGTCGAAGTGCGGGTGGGAGTTTTATTGAATCAGTGGAAACCGAAGGAGTGGAGTGATCATGGGAATAGAACTGGGGAAAGAATGTGGAGAGCTAATTCAAAGAATACTTTCATGTATAGAAATGCAGAAAACTTTAACACTGATGCAGCTACACCTATTCGATCAGCTTCAAAAATTGCTCGAGTTTTTTAAGGGGCTCGCATGAGTCACAGATATGCTCAATCATCCTTCTTTGATAGTGTATATTTTGTTGCAAAAAGTTTAGGCCGGAGTAGTTTAGCGGAGTTTTGAATTTGAAACTCATAAAGCTAAAAAATTATTTAGGTTCTCACACACTTGCATGTTTAGCGCTGGAGCAGCTTTTTCCTTCACGAACATAGCAAATTTTTCACACTGATGTCTAAAATAATAGGCTTTTAAAAAAAATTTGTGTAATAGCTGACATAAGCGCGATTCTGTATTTAACCTTTTGTCCATCAAAGGTAGATCCAGCTTCACACCTTTGTAAACAGTCTCAGACAAAATAAATGCAAAAATGATTTTTCTGGTATGTTTGAAATATTGAAAAAGTTACAGGTTCGTTTTACACTAAAGATAAGCGGTGGGACTAAGACAACACCAAAATATTTTGAATCTTGGTATCAGTTTCCAGCGAACACGAGTACACCTCCAGAAGTTTACATACGAAAAGGGCTTCCATTGATGACTAACACTGCGGAAGTACACTGCATTCAGATTTACTCTTTGGCTTAGGAATTTGTGAGTGTACAGATGCCAGAGCTAATGCTAAAAAGTCGAAAGAATGGGGGAATTTTTAACAAACGCTACAAGAATTTTCAAAGTTCATTTCAACGCCCCAGTAAAGGACTGAACAGAAAAAAAATTTTATGCGTTAATGTATAATATTGCAAGAACCTTTAATGGCGCCATTCACTGATAATGAAAAGAATCGAATAGTCTTGAACTGACGCGGCTGCGTGCATGCCAGAATGATTTAAAAAATATAGAAAAAAATAATAGATACGCGTTGAATTTTTCGAAAACAGCTCGCATTATTTACAGCTGCGCAACTATCCTTCTAAAACACCACCTGAGAAATTTTTTGAATGCGTAAGCACCTTTTTGCTTTACGAATAAAGAAAATTATCCATTGATGTCTAAAACATAAGAATTTCTCAAATTTTTTTCTTGAAGTAGCTGATATTCGTTTTCATTTGAACCTACGGACATCTGAGGTAGATTCAGCTCACATCTTTTTTAAAGGTGGAAGATATCTTGCAAAAGCCTTTTTGGTAAGTCAAAAAAATTATGATAAAATACATACAAGATTCGTTTAATTACAAAGATAAATGATAGATCTAAAACTAAAAGTTGTCAGATCTCTGTAAATTGAGTTCCCAGCGGACAGGCGTACACCTTTGGAAGTTCATATAATATATGAAAGGGCTTTAATGATGACTAACACTACGGGAGTAGAACTTTAGGGAGAGCTTTGGAAGTTTACATTGAAAACAATAGTACAAACTTGTACGAAACATCCACTGAAACATTAGGAGGAGGAGAGGTGATGGGTAGTGATGGGTAGAAGAGTTGACTTCTTCAGAGGTTACGAGAGGCCTTGTCTGTAATATTAGGTCGTTCCAAAAGTAATGTCGCTTTTTTCATGTGAACGCTACATTTCGTGGAAGCAAGGTTTCTAGGAGATCTTGATAGCATTCGATGCATCATTTCATCCTCTTTCTGATGGCTTTAACTTGACTGCAGAATACTCAATGAGCTTTTGAAAAATTACTAAAATCTCCAACCCATGCTTTTTGGGAAGGTCAAGTTTCACAATTTTTCTAACCTTTTGTAATAACTCCCGGAAGATGTCCAAGTAATGGATGGATAGAGCAAACCCTAAGGGAAACGGTACCACTTTTTTCTGCTTTCCGTATCTCGTCATAATTTTTGTAGAGATTTTTCAATGAAGTCACCGAATTTTTGCAGGCTTGTCTCAAACACATATGCATCAAGCACCAATAAACTTTCGGATTCTGAAACTTACAAAGGTGGATAATGGTTTAACACTAATTTTACAAAGTATATGAGCATTTATCGCTTCAGATTAGCAACTTTCTGAAATTTCGAGTACAGCCTGGGGTGCCCTGGAAAACCTGAATTATGATGATTCTTTCCCGGCAAACTTTATGAATCGGAAACCAAAAACAACTGGTAAAAAGAGGAGAAAAAGCTGCGTCGAATGACATCCGAGTTGCTTGCCGGTTATTGTTCTGTGAGGTTTGAGTTGACAAATATGGAATTTGATAGCACTAAAAAATTAATTCTACAAACTCTAAGAAGCAAACTAAGGAAAAGAGAAAAATTGTTTTGTGGCCCATAGGGTTTGCTCTATTTATCTATTACTTGTACATCTTCGGGGAATGAGTACAAAAATATAGAAAAATAGCCGAACTTGACCATAACAAAAAGCATGAGTCGCAGCTTTTGGTAATTTTTTAAGAGCTCATTAAATATTATGCAATGATTGTACAACCATTAGAAAGAGGACGAAATGCTGCATCGACTGATCCCAAGAGCTCTCGAAAATCTTGGTTCCGCGAGATGTGACGTCCATTTGAAAAATGCGACATTACTTTCGGAACGACCTAATATTTATGTAATTAAAATCTTTTATGATGATAAATGCTATAAAAATAAGCTTAGTTTTCTAGCTCTGTATGGACTAATTATACATTCAATTTTTCAACTCAAAATGGCCTATAACTCGACGACCAGAGGAGCACGGGAGATAACGAAGATAGATTTGGAATCAGCGTCCAATGCTCTTTGTAGTCGCGTTTTCATGTGAAAAGGCCACTTCGACCAAGCTAGCATTCTTTGTAAGATCAGTCGACGTTACGCATAAATCAGGCAATTGAACAATAAAGATTGATTATAGACCTTGTCGAACACGTAACTTGCTGTAAAACCATTTTTTTTTCTTGGAGAGAATTTAGTTGTGCACACTTACCATACAAGCTGTATACAAAAATCGGATTTGACGGAGTCAAAGTAATATTGTATGTGATGTTTATGTACGCTCAGCCAGATTATGGCTGGCAACAACATACATCATGGCACCCACTTTTGCATCTATCGCAAAAAATGTCGATCACTATGAGCATTGCGGTGAGTTTATTTCATAGAAATATCCGAACTAATCTACAAATTCAGCTCTTCATGGGTAAATTCTACATATTGCATGTTGATAAAGACGAGAAAGGTAGCTATAGCATTTTTTGAAAACCACAACCAAATCGAATTGGATTTTTAGGAAGCGCTGACACTCGTAACGTCAACACTACAATGACAGGTGAACTTAACTGAAAGCAAAAACTGTTGTAACTGCCACTTTCTTTTACAGGCAGACCTATTTTTGGCGATTCTGTCTCTACCGCACGTAAGTCAGCCTAAGATCAAAAATATATGTTGTTGTTTGGCAAAATGGCTTCCTGTTTTTGATGTTATATTACAGCGCTTATAAAATTTCCATACTTGATCGAACTCAAGCTTCCAATTTTTAGATTGAAAACAATCTTAGGATCTTGTGCTGTCATTAGATCTCAAATGCTTCCAAGGTTAGGCAATACAATGCAAATACATCTCAAAAATTATGGCAGATGAAAGTGGTACATGATCATGACAAAGCAGTTCTCCCAAAATGTGCAATCAAACATCTGCGGTTGGACCGAAAGTTCGTTCAGTTCTTAGATCAGTCAAATTTCTTAGAACAAGAATAGATTAGCATTTGAATAGAGTATCATTCTGCAGAATTTTTATTTTCCCATATTTTTATTTTCCCATATTTCCCATATTTTCCGTCTTAAAAGTAAATCTCTGAACAAGAGCTCAGATATAGTTTCCAATGTCCAATACATCGCTTTTGCCTTGTGAAAACCTTTTATTTAGGAAGTCTGTTTCATACTTTTGAAGAAGCATCAACAACCATGATAGAACAAAGCTTTTGCAATGCATCTCATTTTATCGCATCTTTCTTCTCAGAAGTTGTGATTTTGAAAGGGTTGCCTAATTTATAGTCAAACCAAATACTTGCTAAACTTCCGAGTTGAAATTTCTTGACTTGTTTATGAATAAGTTTAAGGCAAGACATAAACGATTGCTGCTCTAAAATGTCGAGGTTCCATTTTGTTAAGATTAGCGCATTTTGTACAATCGAAAAAAAACCAATCTTCTTCGCAAGGGGAAGAACAGCTAGCGAAATAGATGGAAAAGAACCACACCACGCAACCAACCACGCACGTGAATTGCTTACGTCGACTATCTATAATGTTTGGACTGCGAATACACTGAGAAAGAAGACGCTAGCTGGGGAAGTTAAAAAATCCACAACTCTGCAAAAGCTCTGTTCTATCTACTAGTTATCACCGCTCTCTAGAAAAATCAAAATGAAATTAATTATGTAGTCTCATAAGTTCGTAGAGTTTTCACAAATTAGAGAAATGACAAAAAGAAAACCCTTCAGTAATTTGGTCAATAATGCATGTTCCGTTGTTGCCGACAACCTTCCTTGTTCTCATATTTTCAACTCGGTCTTTGAACTTCAGCTGGTCTGGTCCCAAAAAAGCCGTTTAAGAATGTTTCCAGAACTGGAGCAAGCACCATTAATATGGTTTGCAAGAAAGGAGAAAAATAGTTTCTTAGTGTAGGAGACCGGATACTAATGTTCCTTCCACTCAGGCCTCGCAGCTGAGCTTCGAGAATTTGCCAGGCATAAAGACTGGTTGGATTGTTTCTTGGGTCTTTTCTACACCAAGCAAATTTAGACGGTGCAGTTGGGTGGTCAATAGTCTTGTGTCTATCCAATAATATTTAGCGCAAAATGTACTGCCTTTTAGAAGCCTCCCGAGAAAATGCGAATCAAACTTAGTCTTTTGGAAAAATCAAATCTATGCAAAAACGTCCTTTTCATACGGAAATATGAGCAGATAGATAAAAGTGCTTTTTCGCCCTCTAAGACTCCATCTTTAAAGGCGAGCAACCTGAGGGAATCAGCTTTCTATCAAAACTATATGTTCACTCTAAAGAGTATGACTAGTTTTTTTCAATGACGTATAATGCCGCAAAAACCAACCTCCAAAAAAACGACGAGGATGAAAACTGTATAAACTTGGAACGACCTAATGGCTATCGTGCGATCTAAAGTGGCTTGCAGATGTCATGGACCATCCGAGTGCCTGTTCATAAATTCGAAGAACAATTCTAAGAACACGAGAGTCCGTGTTCTACTTTTCTGGAAGAATTACAGTGTACAAGAGAAAGAGAGTACAAGAAAAACCAAAAAAAGGTTTCGCCAGCAAAAGAAGCTAAATTTCAGCATTAAGCAGTCATTCCTGATAAGCAACAAAGAAAAACCCTGTTTAAAGGAGGGTGTATTGCTTTTGTCTAATGGTAAGAGCAGTCGTTATATTGAGCAATTCTCTTTTACAGGTCCACCTTCCGATGACTTGCTAAGAAATATCTTTCTCACTACTCATAACAACTACAGGTCTTACCAGCTTTATACGAGTCTGAAAATTCAATAGTAATTTTAGAGCCAGAATCGCTAGAGGAGAAACTGAAAGAAATGGTCGGAGTGGGGAAAATGCTCCACCGGCATCGTTGATGTACACAATGGTAAAACGAAGAAGCCTTTTGCTTTCTTAACCATTCTAAAACACTTGACAGAGGTATAGCTTGGCTGCCGAATCGTATGCGCGACGACATGTAGAGCGTTGCGACAAAAGACAATATTATGAGTGGGAGTTGCCTGGACATAGAGAAAATGTGCACGTTCTTGAAAGAAACGATATCAATTCAGAAAGAGCAGCATTATTGGTAAGATCGATAAGTTTTTTCCTTATTGTAAGTTTTTTGATTTTCAGGCCATGAATGACTGGTGGAGCGAATTGAACAGATATGGTGTTCCTTCCAATATGATATACACTGCAGATATGCATACTCGTTCGAGTGCACCTGTTAGGTCCTTTACAAAGGTAACAAAGCAAAGCACCTTTTTCTTTTAATACTCCTAAGTAGTTGACTAGATGGCTTGGTGGAAAAACACGGAACTTGGATGTGCTGTGAAAAACTGCACCACATTTTTTTTCACTTCCTGCATATACGGACCGGGGTAGGTGTAGGACAACAAGTAGATCAGCAGCGACTGCAACTATGATTTGCAGAGGTAACGATGTTGGGAGGCCCATTTACAACGTGGGTGCCGTCTGCTCAGGCTGCTCGTCTGGATGCCAGCATGGGCTTTGTCCATTGCCACATTCATAGTTATGCATGTTTTGCTAATTATTCGTTTCTAGTGGTACATGGTACTTCACATGTAAAGAGACTAAGGTTTTCATAAATTTTTCTTCCACTCCTGTCGTTCTTTACATGTGTTACAACTCAAAATCGTACAAAGCAACAAATCTATCATCGCAAAATCATTGATCACTAGCATTGTTGAAAATTGATGGTATGAAACCACACAAATCGAGGTGGTGTTGAGATTGACTGTATAGAACTCGAATATCTTTTGCCTACGTTTGAAATCGTATATTTCAATTATCTTAAATTGATCTATCATCCGTTTACTTTTTTGTTTCAAATATAGAGAGTAAGATTTTGAGGATATAAGAATCTTCAAGAAGTTTGTTGATGGTTTAAAGCTGTAAAGATCCATAGGAATAAAAATGTAAAGGAAGAATGATGGGCAGAACGAGTTAGAGAAAAAGGCTCTGCATTGCTGGTTAACAGTAGTATCGTTTTTCAGATTCACTTGGCCAAGGAGAGAAGACACAACCAATTGATATTGTTTTGAAGAGCGAGTATACTAGTCGAGTTTTCAATGCTTCTCGAGATCACCCTCGATTTTTGCTGCCTTCTGCTAAAGATTCTCCTCATGCGAACGCCTTGATATTGGCAACGGCAACAAACTGTGTACATAAGCGTTTGAGCGGTTAAATGATGATGAGTAACCTTAATTATGGAGTGGTTTGCAACAGGTTTGATTTCTTTGTGTCATAATTTGCAGTATCGTCTGAAATTCGCTGGTAATCTATAGAGCAAGCATATACTACATGACAGTTTGTTTCCTCAAAGCGCATCAGCAACAGTCAGTATATCGGTTATTAGGACATATTACTTCATATGTTTCTTTTGTAGTTTGTTCTTTTGTTTTTTTTTACGAGATGCAGACCATGTAAACGAACAGTTCCCAAATTGTGTGTGTAATATAGAGATTCCTGCGGATTTCACCTTGCAAAGGCACAGGAAGGTCATCAAACCTTCTGCAAACCACCCTCACCACTCGACCACTTGGGGACTTTCAAGGCAGTGGGTCGGCAGAATGAGACCCGTGGCAAAACAAGGTCATAGGGTAGGAGCCCCATAATGGAACCTATGGGCCAAAGTTCGATCTTTCTCTGCCACTTCTAACCCCCGGAATTTCAAAGCGAAAGCAGCGCTCATCTCCGTCCTCTCCGAACCCGCCCACCCCATGGACGAGTGACTTCCGCGGTCAGAGCGCCAACCGCAATGCTATAAACATGAGGTCCCGCAACGACTCTGCGTCTTCGCCATGACGGGCTTCGCGTTCACTCGTCCATGGGGTGGGCGGGTTTGGAGAGGACAGGAGATGAGCGCTGCTTTCGCTTTGAAATTTCGGGGGTTAGAAGTGGCAGAGAAAGATCGAACTTTGGCCCATAGGTTCCAATATGGGGGCTCCTACCCTGTGACCTTGTTTTGCCATGGGTCTCATTCTGCCGACCTACTGCCTTTAAGTGCTTATCCTCGTTCCCTCTTACCGAGGTATATAAGTTGGAGAAAACCCCTCATACCAGAGTCAAGTGCAAGGTAGTGCACGGGTAGTTGCATCAGGCGCGGGAAAATGATGAGTGTGGCAAGCAAGAAAAAGAAAGGAAATCTTTCTAAAAAGATGTAAAATTTGCTACGAGAGAGGAAGGTGATGAAAAAAGTATTCAATGGTAAATGTTACGTTGTGAACAAAAGCACTACAGATGATAGAATAAGTACAGTTAAAGAAATTTAAAGGCCTAACACATTTCACTTTTTATAAATCATTACTGCCACAATTTCTGGTCCTTTATAATCCCTGGAAAACGTCATTCTCAATCATTATTCACTTCATTTCAAATAAGCCAATTTCACTCATAAGAAAAAAGTAATCTTTCTCAGACATGGGAAAAGTGCTTCATATTATTTTTTGACTAATGGATTAAGAGCTGCCAAAACCCCAACAACCACTTAACCCAAAGACTGCAAATAGTGACGAAGCAGCCTTATCTAACAATTTCCCATTCTATTGCCTCCAGTTGTATGTTCAATATATTGAATTTTGCAAAGAAATTCCATGGTATATGGCAGCTAGAGCTTGCTCTATCTTACTGCAAATTTCCTCGTTTTTCCGAGGCCTAAGGCATACCTCCCGCGATTCCATCAAATCGCTACGTCAACGCGACTTGTATTTGCCAGATATCTACAGATTCACCGTGCGCGTCAACTGCATAAACACATAGCTTCTGATGTTGCTGCAAAAGCTTAAGTTTTACCAAAGTAAAGCGCGCTTACGACCAACTATGAAGAGTCGTTCAGTGCCAAATCGCGTGAGGTTTGCCTTAGGCTTAAGAGGCAGACATCCGCCATGACAGATGATCTTGCCAAAGTACATAGTGTACATGGATGATAAGTAGCGTGCAGTTCAATTGTAGGTCTACTCTTTGAAATGTTTGGACGCCTTTATATTCTTGTCCACGAGAAACTCCAGATTTGAAGAGTGGATTAAAGGAAAAAGAATTTGTTTTCAGATTTTCGCTAGATACTTCTCTGTGCATCTCTACTCGGAGGACTTGCATAAGTACAAAATGTTACTTAGCAAAGAAAGGATTTGAAAAAAATCCAAACCTTCGGCGTGCTTGTTACAACAGTCTGTCTCCCTTTCCGCAGGGATAACGTATGCGCAAAAAGTCGTGCATAAAGCGCCAGCTTGAAAGTTCAGGCCATACTCCCGCAAAGGTGCGGTACGCGATGGAAAAGGGACCTTAAATTATACAGGGTGTTTGAAAAAGTTCATGTCCTCAAGCACTTCAACTGCGAAAGCTAACTCGATTTTTGCTATGTGTGTTCGCCAAACCTAGAAACCACTAAATCAACAAAGAAATATATTTTTTGCCTCAAGATACCCTAAAAAATTTAGAAGTAAACAATTTTTTAGCTTCCTTGAGGAGTGCATTATCTGACTTGTTATTTTTTCAACGCCGGAAAAGAGAAACAGCTTTTTTTATACAAATAGTCTTAGATTTACACTTTCATTATATAACAAAAGTTCTTCACTAGCTTGCTAACGAAGATTTTTCATTGTGCTGAATCACAGCAGACAGTTGCGGCACCAGTTTGCGTTGAAATTTTTTCAGTTTGAAAATGTTTGGAAGTCGTATTTCAACATATATTTGTAGCACAACTCTCTGACCTTCGTTATAATTGTTTTCAAAAATTCTGCACGCTTGCACTTGCGGTTTTGAAGATAAAAAATGAAAATTTCAAGGCTGGACTATTTGATGAATAATTCTGAAAGCGGATCACTTGTCTTTCAAGGCACGGTATTATCAAAACGAACTTACTTCTATGAAAGTAAAAGAACATTTAAGAAACCTTAAAGAAAGGGGTTTCAGATGGTATACCAAGTTTTCTGTGAATTATGTTTTCTTTTTTGTAACAAGCGTTTTAAGAAAAGAGGTTTGGAAAGCTATACTGTAGTTCAATCTAATAAAAAATCAAAGAAACCGCGAAGAAACTTGATTTCACTGAAATAATGGTATTTAGATCTGATAATAACAATAAAACAAAAAGCGAGTCAAAATCCGAATTGGAAGTACTTTAGGACACAAGCTTTTCAAAACCCTGTAAGTACTATATTTACAACTGGTTGAATCCCTACGGTTCTTGAAGTAAGAAATCGTCCCGGAGTTTTTGACTGTCTCAAAGGCACTTTCCACCCAAGTTCTCGACTTCCATGCTTTTATCTCTTCCAGGCCTTCTGAGGGCCCTGATTTCAAATATAGAGTCGAGAATCCGCGAAACCCTCAAAAACCCCCGTTTTGGAGAAGGGTGCAATGCAGGTCGCGGGGCTGCGGCGCGGATATACGCCGGGCGCGTCATTTGTAAACCTGCAAAGTGGGCGGAGTGACCAGAGGCGGTATTGTTCAATTTCATATATGAAGGGGTTGTACAAGTAACAGCCCGTACAGGCACTGGCACTGGCGCCCGCGATACACGAAGCCAACTGGTGAGCTAGCACGAAGCCAGCTCCTGTCTATTAGAGAATATGGTCCAATTTGACAGGTTTGGCCATGTTGAGCACGGCAGTCGGGCAGCGGAGCGCAACCTGTCGAGATCGAGCTCCGCTGCTCAAATGTCGTGCCTGACATGGCCACACTTGTCAAATTGGACCATATTCTCTAATAGACAGGAGCTGGCTTCGTGCTAGCTCACCAGTTGGCTTCGTGTATCGCGGGCGCCAGTGCCAGTGCCTGTACGGGCTGTTACCTGTACAGGAACCCCTTCCCATATAAGAGATTGATGAATACCGCTCACGGGTTAGCGTTCTCACCTGCCGAGGCCCTCGTTGACAATCGTTCGAACAGCGAGTGGGAGATTGATAAATACCGCTCCTGACCACAGGAGCAAATGAGTATTCTGATCCAAGTCAAATTTCGATCCAACCACTATAGATGAAGTGTTCAATGGCTACTTGAACTGAGAGTACTTTTATGTCAATACCATCGCGAAGGATGAACAAATACATACGAATACTAGAGAATTTCAATGAATTCTCCCTACACTTTGAGCTTTCTAAATCATTCTCTTGTTATCTAGTACGTTAGTAGCTTTTTTTGCCAGACAGGTTTGATATGAATGTTTCGTTCGGCTCTAACTTTTCGGCATTAATATTAGGTCATTCGAAAAGTTTTTTCGCTTTTTGCGCCTTTGATATTAGTGCCATATTTTGAGAGAATGCCAAAGGGTTTACAGGGGTTGCCAAATATGGTTCTGCAGGGAAAATCTTTTAATCTCTGGAAATTTCACCAAACCTGCAAAAATCGCTTTGTATGAAACTTTATGGGGCTTTAAATTTGACATGATAAAACACGATTTTGAGTAATTGCATTCTTTAACCTCAAACTTCAATGTAAGGCAGTTGAAGAAGCCGTCTTTGTGCGCAATGCATTCGGCTACATCTTTGTCGGAGTTGTTTCAAGATTGCTGCAGAA